CGCTGTGTCCTCTACATCTTATCTAATCTTCCAAACAGTTCTACAAGATGTCTCAGAAAATAAAGCAGCCAAGGCTCCCAGAATTTACTTTAAACTTGCTCAAAGTCATAGAGCTGGCAGCTCCCAAAGGGGGTTATTTTAACCACCTTATCCTGCAGCATCCAAAAAGGGACCAGAATGGACCCAGGAAGTAGAGCGCAGTGAACCAGGTAAGCCTGTGTCTGTGTGTCTCAGAGAACGATGCAGGGGTGGCCGCTTCCATCCTGGGCTTCTGCTGTGGCACTGAATCCACTGGTCCAGCACAGTCCTCAGAGAGGCCCTGGGGGGATGCTTCTGGGCTAACTGACCTCACTGGGAAAAGATCTTGTTTATTACTTGTTGGCTTCTTCAATGCTCAGCTCAAACCCCACCTCTTTCATGAAGCCATCTCCAGCAGCACCGTCTCCCTCTACTGAACTTTTCAAGTAATTCTTGTCCATGTTACTCTTTTGGCTGCTGAACGTGCGAATATTATTGACTGTCTTTTTAAGAGTATGTCCCTAGGAGAATGGCTCTTCCTTTCAGGCAAGAGCCATGTCTCACTTTGGGGTGTACAGCCAGTGCCTGTAATGAGGTCTCAAAAATGCTCACTACCAAGGGTAACCTTTTGAGCAGCCCTTACGCAGTCTTGGTGCCCCTGTATAGCTGCGTAGGGCCAAAGATGGAAAGCTTCTACAACAACAGCATCCTACCTTAATAACCTTGTCAGTTCCTGAAGTCAGTAACCAGCCTCTGGTGGCATCAAAATGCACATGAACAATATTATGTTTACTGTCATGGAAGGTGGCGGTGGGCGCACGTCTGGAGGGAGCAAAGAAAGTTTCCAAGAGTTAAAGGCAGTAGTACATAAATGAAGGAGATTTAGAGTGACATTAAGGTCTAATTTTTAGCCAAATGGCCAAAACTACTTCACTGTTAGCATTGCACCTCAGATCCACCTCTATTCCCTGATGACACATTATGATTAAAAAAAAAAGGATTCTTATATATTCTCCAAAATGGTCAAGAGACAATGAAGTTTCCAAAACTTTTCGAGAATTTGTTGCTGTGATAGACTCTGTGAGAATCTCTAGCTAAGCTGTTGGCAAACGTTTAAAATAACCCAGTGCTTTTGCTGAGTTTGATCTCAGATGGCCTTGCTGGTAAAATACCTTTGTCTATTTCATTTTTTAAAAAGCACGCTTGGTAAAATACCTCAGATACTACTGTCATTCTAATCCAAGGGCTATTCATTCTTTCTCCTTTTTCACTGGTATAACTGCAGACTTAGTTTTTCTGCAGCATTCTAATGCTTTAACAAATAACATAATATATAAACAAACACTGTTATTTGCCTTTTATTTTTTAATCTGTGTTTTTTTTTTTTTGTAAGAAGGGTGGTCTCCTATCCAAGCACTAACCAGCCCTGACCCTGCTTAGCTTCCGAGATCAGACAGATTGGGAGCATGCAGGGTGCTATGGCTGTAGATAGATACTAACTACTATAGATAAAACAGATAAACAGCAAGGTCCTACTGTGTAGCACTGGACCATATTCATACATTGTAAAAGCCTATAATGAAAAAGAATATGAAAAGGAATACATACGTATGTATAACTGAATCACTATGCTGTACACCAGAAATTAACACAACATTGTAAACTGACTATACTTCAATGAAAAAATAAAAAAATAAAAGGCTTGTCAACGGCCTAGGTGCTCTAAAAGAGATGCAAACGCTTCCACAGAGAAGGGGCAGAAGAAACAGTGATGTGGGCAAGGGGACAGCGTGTGGAGGGAAGCGGAGGGTCGCAGAGGGGACGCGGAGTGGACGCGGGGAGACAGCGTGTGGAGGGACGCCGAGGGGACATGGGGGGGAGACGCAGGGAGACGCGGGGGTGGGGGACACGGGACGGACGCGGGAGGGACAACGGCAGTTTTCTAATCTTGTTTGAGTTCCCACTCTGCCACGGGCTCTCTGAAGACTGCTGTTTTCTTTTTTCTAAGCTCAATCTGGAGAACAGATCTTCAGTATCCTTAAAATGACTGCTTTAAAATATTTAGAATGAAAGAATTAGGTTTAATTTGTAGTCACTTAGGCTCTCTGGGTCTGTGACTTCAACGAACAATTAAAGTAGAACATCTCTAATGTCTCTCGCAGCTCTCCAATTTAATGAGGACTCTCGCATTAATTTCATCACGTGATAAGCAGAAAATAATCCATGAACATGGATGCTTACTTATGCAAGGCCATCTTAATTTATATTTGCTCTGACTAAATAAGAATGAAAAAACAAACATTAGGGTCATCTGTAAGAGAACGCTAATTTGCCAAGAGTTTCCTTTAAATGCCGACCTCCTCTAGTGCCTTTAAAATATGTTTCTATTTACATGAAGCTTTTAAGACACCCATCTAGTACTTGAAATGATTTTCCTATATACCAGGTGCGGGGGTGGGTGGAGGTGGGGGAACTCGGCAGACAAGTCTCTTATGAAATCCTGCTGTATGTAATTCACTCAGAAGGGAACTTGTTGGAGCGCACTCTGCTGACGTGGGCGCAGTTTGCAACAGCTGACATTAATAAGACAACATTCCCCCCCCCCCAAAACACAGTGGCGCAGTAACCTCCGGTTCCAGGTTGCTGGGCAAGACCAACCAGCAAGACTCAGTAGCTGGGCAACTGGGAGTACTGGCCTTTAGGTGAAGTGGCTTAGTTCTTCCTGGAAAATAAAACCTCTGGAGCCTGTAGGCTGATCTGCTCCTGTTAAGTTAGCAGCTTGAGCTAGACAGTGAAGCCTGGGCTACCCTGCACTCCTGGACAGTTTTTAAGACAACATTAGCAGGCAGAGAGGGTTTGCTCCAAGAACATCTATTTTCAAGGCTCACCACGCCCCCTACCCTGGGACTGAGATGGTGAGATGAATTCTTAGCTCGCACTCTCTCTCCTCCTGTCTCACAAGAGGACACAATCTCTTGGTGGAGAGGAGGGCTCTGCCCACCTGCCATGGTCGGTATGAAACCAGCAGGAACCGCGGCACTACCAGTCACGGCTGCGGAGCCGGGCGCAGCGCTCAGATCCCCCCCCACCCCGAACCGTGATGCTTCTGCAGGTGGCTGGGACTTACTCCTCGTCTGTGATGGCCTCGTGGCAGCTGTCGCATACCCTCACTTCAAACTCGAAGCCCATCAGAGGGATGGAGGAGCGCTTGGAGCTGCACTTGCCACAGACAGCCTTCCCGCACTTTCGGCAGTGGTGCTGGAGGGAGAGAAAACATGATCACTGGGACTGCGGCTGCGCTGCGCGCCTTGGCCCCGCCTAGTAGGCTCAGGTGAGGGTACCCACAGCATCCAGGTGAGGATGCTAACCCAGGAAACTGAGGAAACACACCAGGTGCCTCTCTTTTTGGATTCTGTTAATTCAGAATAAAGACTGCTGGGAAACACATGATTGTGCCACGGCCCCAAGGCCCCCCCTCCCCAGGCTTGGTTCTTTCCAACTATCATCAGTATTAACTGGAGGTACCACCCAGCAGTTGAGTTATCTTAAAGCTGGGTGTACAGAGGCAGTACCACCTCCAGAGACTACGCTGCTGGGTGAAGGGGAACACGGACGAAATCTGATTCAACCCACAGTCTACGCTTTGGCTTTGCTCAAGCAAGGTGACTGACATCTGGTTTCCTTGCAGCGGACCAAACCCTACCGTGGAATCAGATGGAAAATACTGTATTATAACTAGATCTAAATGACTAAACTCAGATGGAAGGAAGGAAAGTGGAACTATTAAGAAGAAATAAATACCATATACAATAATTTCATGGTTTGGTGCCAATATGAGCTAAGCATGACCCCTGGAATTTTATGGTGTATTTCAGTAGATGCCACTAGAATTCTCAAATTGTATCCCTTAACTACTGGGAACAAGTCACTACGGAAACCGAATCCAGGAGGGATGAGCTTTGGCAGAGAACGGGAATAAATTAGGGTGCAGTCACAAAGCGACTGCAGGACAATAATTTACCCCGGCCACAGCTCCCACCCAGGTACACTATTTCTTCTAAGATCACACAGTAAACTTATTCCCACACTAGCACATTTTGATGAAGCATTCATATCACCCACCTGTCTCAGGCCAATTTTCTTACTGTCCCACATTTGCTTGAAGTTCCAGAAAAAAGGTTGATCACACTTTTGGCAGGAATCACTGTCCAACCACTCAGGGGTCTTGTCAAATAAAGCACAGAACAGGTCACGTGAGAAGCAATGAGGACAAGGGAACCACTGTTGTTGCTGAAACTTACACAAGCAAGATGTGTTTCTAAGAAACTGGTGTGATCTCTCGATCATTTAAGAAATACTTACTGGATGCCTATGATGGGTCAGGCCCTGGGGATGTAGTGGTGAATAAGAAGAATCTCTACCATCATGGAGTGCATAATTTATCAGGGAAGATGAAACACGAAAATCTTATAAATAATGGTTATTATTTAAATCAGTATAAGCACCAAAGGCCTGAGAAGGAGAAGCACAGGAGGCTGTGAGAGTGGGATGCCCTAGGCTGAGGTTCAGGACTTTGTCTCTGACAAATGATGATAAACTGAGACCTGGGGATGGATGGGAGGAGGGCAGGCACAGGGGCTGAGAGAGGGCAGGTTGGCCAGAGCACATGTGTGTGTGAGGCAGGGGGGGTGGGGGGGTAGGGGGGTGGGGAGGGGGTGGGCAGGATATGAAGGGTCGAGGCTGGAGGGGACGCAGGGGCCACACACAGAGTCCTGACAGCTATGTTGAGGATTGAGGACTTTATCTCACACTCTCTGATCACATGCAATCATATGTGCTCTGATTGTGTACAATCATATGTACCTGCACATCACCCATGCGCACAGCTACCCGTGCTGGGAGCACAGAACCTGACCACAGCGGGCACTCAGGGAAGCTACAGGTCCACTGCCAAGGCAGCGCCCAGCAGGGCTGGAGGGTCTGCTCCTTGCCTCATGAGTCATACAATATCCTGGCTTGTTCACGATTTCCCAACCCCATCACGAGTACTCTAAATTATGCCAAACAAATTTAAAAGATGTGTTAAGCTTAAAGCTGTTCTTTAGCAAATCTCTTATAGATTCTGCATATGATGACTTTGCATTTGCTTCTTGGGTTCCATGTTCAGCTCTGTAAATTCACCCTCTGGCAGAGAGACTGGTCTCTTTCCACATGTCACCAAACCCAAGGAACTGGGAGAAATACATCCAACTCCAGGGTTTCTCAAAAGTGGATTGCAAGGCACTCCAATTTGACTCACAGGGCACTTACTGCAGAAGAGGCCTGTGATCAAACAAGTTTGAGAACTGTGGTAAACAAGAGCCCGCCTCTCTGCAATTCACAACTAACAGCAGCACAGTACGGGCGGGTTCGGGAAGCCCTTTGTCTGTTGATGGAATCCTTCTCTGAGGAAGACCTGTTATGGAACAGATTTGGGGACTTGGTGGAAATGAACCTAAGGCTACACACTTTCTCAGGAGGAAAAAAAAAAAGAGTGAAAAGATGACATTTTAAGAGCTCTAATTCTTAGTCTATTTTATTAAAATTGAAGAAAAGAAGTAAGCCTTGACTTGCTTGGTAATTTTCATGCCCTAATTAGTTTAAAGACAGATTTAATAAAATAATGCAAAATTTTTAGCCAAAGACAACATTTTACTCCTAGAAGACTGATCTATGTTGTGATTTTTTTTCAGAATACTTATGATGCAGGAAAATCAGGAGGCTTTACAAAAAAGCTTCTCACACACACACACACACATATCCCTACATCTTTTATAAGGAAGCATGAAGGTTTAGGATGTCCATGAAATGTATCAGTGAGTGTCTATGAAAAGGGAACTGAGCAGAGATCTGAAAAGGGGAAAAAAAGTCAGCATGTGTAGTACGATTCCTTTTTGGTCAAATAAATCTTACATACATGTACCTGAAGAGAAGAATGTCAGGAGGGATGTTTGCCAGCATGTGAAGGGTGACATTTCTGGGTGGTGGGAAATCACCAATAACGATACTGTCTTTGTTAACGAGCACTCTAACTTCTCTACAAAGAACGTGGGTTATATATACTTTTAAAAATGATAAAATGATGAAAGATGGATTTCATTAACTGCATAAACGCACATTTAACCTATGGGATGTTGACCCGATCTGCGCTCAGCCCCTCCAGGTCTCCCACCATCTGCGGCACCATCTCTGACCGTGTCCACGGCTCTGTGAGGACCTCTCCCGCTCACCGTGTCTGGGCTCTTGGTGTTTCCTGTCCAGGTCAGAGTACATTCGGGCCCGTCACACTCATCGCTATCTCCTTCCAAAAACCCTGAGCTGACAATGACAACGCCCCTTCCTATGTGCCCAGCACTGAGGCTCTAACACACGTTAGCTGTGATGGAATCATTTACACCATTTAATGGTTTTCGATTTCTCCCATGTCTTTTCTTCCAGAAAGGCTACCAGCTCTTCAGGGCAGGGATGGCTCCAGCACGTGTCCCTGACCTCCCAAGCTGAGCCCCGCACAGCACTTGTCACAACCAGGAAGTGCCCCACAGACACACCTCAGGGATTTCGTTTATAAAATATAACACTTGTGAACATAACCATCTCCAACTGCTCACTTAGAACTTTAAATCCCTCAACGAGAAGATTTAAAACAGTCAAGAAATACCAAGTGCCCATATACCTGCATGTCAAAAGGCATAATTTAAGCAAGATGACTCAAAGGGCTGCCCACCAATCATCTGGTATGGTCTCTGGAAACTGCATCCTTACCCTCCTTTGGGCCTCTGTCTATCAAGGGTGGAGGCTGGGTCCCCTGGTCTTCTGGTCAGTCGGGCCTGGGAAGAAGCCAGGACAGACCAGGAGTGACTGGCCCTCACCCAAAGCAGGCCACCGTGCAGAATAATCCGTCACACACAGGGTCCGGCTAGCACGACGAGCAAACATTGCGCCGAGCTCCCTGTCTTTATGCTGATGAGGCCAAGTGGTACTTTCAAAAGCAACATTCCACAATTCCCCACTCCCTAACTGTAAAGATCATTTTAATTAGTTACTAATAGAACTCCTGTGGATTTATGGTTTGAGCAAATCAAGCTTTAATCTTCTTAAGCATTTAATTACTGGCACTTAGAAGGCACTGCATTGTGGGTAATAGCAACTACTCTCTTGGAATGAGACTGGGGTGAGGGAAAGGAGAGAAGTTGGGAAGGCGCTTTTGTCTTTCTCAAGTGTTGCTTTTCTGTCTAATTCTTGCATCCTGTTAGAAAATAAATTAGAAGAATATACACTATCAAAGGGGAAATTTACCCACCATAACTGTAGGGAAATGAGAAAATGGTTAACTTCAAAGTATGCGTCAAAGGGGATATTAGTAAACAAATCAGTTAAGATGCTCAAAGATGAAAAAGAAAATTCTTTGAAAAAAGAATGTTACAATAAAACTTAAATATGTGCTTAAAAATTACAATGTATATATTTATACCTGGAGAAGTGTTTAGAATATGAGTCGTAAAGAAACACAGAAGTAATGACTTCTAATATTTCTATTAATACCAAACTAAGGGTTCTCACTTCATCAAATACCATTTCTCACACACTAGCTACCATGTCCCCCCAAAACATAAAAGCACAGAAGTTTTCCATTTTCGTCAGGCACTTTACACCTGAGGGCTAACCACCCGAAATGGCTGGTTCCTTTTTCTCCCCAGAATTTTTGTTGTTAAAGTCTAAATAGCTTAGTCTCAGTTGAGATGTGCATGACCTCTCCATTACAGGAGAGTTGCGTGCCAGTTTGTGAGGGGTTAAAAAGAAAAAGGAAGCTCCGTTTATACTAGAATTTTATATTTTCTGACACAACACGTCTGATTTCATGGTTTAGTCATAAAGGAAAGAGGAAATGAGCAGGAGGGGAGGCTGAGGTGTTTTCCAGCGGAGCCCAGCCCGGTGGCTGTGGAGGGTGGCCTGAGCTGCAGTGGCGCCTACCTCCTGCCTCTCCACGTCCATGTTCCAGACGACGATCCCACCGTCGCCGCCACAGGAGATGAGCTGCCGCGTGTGCTGTGCATAGGACAGGGCCTGGACTCTGTCACTGCAAAGGAAATCAGGAGTCAAGGGCACTTCTGGAGAGTGGTGTGAGCCCCAAGGGAAGGAAGCCTGGCAGTCAGTCACAGGCGCGCCCACCCAGGGCCCCACCCAAGGGCTGATCTCGGAAACTGGATGGAACTGTCAACATGCTATCACTGGGAGAGTACTCAAGATTTAAAATAAGTCAAAATGCTCGTTTAATAATTAGCAATGTTGAACCTCTTTTCATGTGCCTGTTGGCCATCCGTATGTCTTCTTTGGAGAAATGTCTATGTAGGTCTTCTGCCCATTTTTTGACTGGGTTGTTTGTTATATCTGATATTGAGTTGTATGAGCTGTTTGTATATTTTGGAAATTAAGCCCTTGTCAATTGCATCATTTGCAAATATTTTCTCCCAGCCCGTAGGCTGTCTTTTTGTTTTGTTTACGGTTTCCTTTGCTGTGCAAAAGCTTATAGGTTTGATGAGGTCCATGTTTATTTTTGCTTTCATTTCTTTTGCCTTGGGAGACTGATCTAAGAAAATGCTGCTACGATTTATGTCCAAAGGAAAAGGTAGGGGGAGGGATAAATTAGGGGTATGGATTAATAGAGACATACCACTATATACAAAATAGAGAACCAATAAGGATTAACTGTCTAGCACAGGGAACTATATTCACTATCTTATAATAACCTATAATGAATATGAAAAAGAACATATACATATATGTACGTATCTGTATAAATGAAGCACTTTGCTGTACACCTGCAACTAACACATTATAAATCAACTATAGTTCAATTAGAAAAAAAAAGTTCGTTTAAGATGCTAAGTTCCCAGAAGAGGTAGTCTCTGTCAGTTACCATCATTTGATGAACAAGGCTGTTGAACTGATTATAATATCTCACTGGTTCCTTAACTGATAAACTAAAATCTGTGCCATCTGTTCATGTTATGGTTTTAAGGTCGTCTTTCGAAATGCCCCCTGGGTGTAGCTGGCAGAGCCAGGTAACCCGAGCTGCCTGAGGTGTAAGGGACCCGCACGGCTCCCGTGTGAATCCAGAGCAGCACAGACTTGAGTTTCACTGACTCTCTTATTTCTCTAGTTTTCATGCTCTCTTTACTGATTTTGAGTTTTATTTTTCTTTCTAGTTTGTACATGGCTGGCAAGCTATTCCCTCCTGGTGGATGATTCAGTTTTAGGGTCATACAATTTAGTGATACACTAACAGAATACAATAGAGATCTAGTCTCCCTTGGAAGAGAAAGATCAGGGAATCTCTTTTGTTTGGTTTTGTTTGAATATTTTTCTATTTTGAGCTCAAATCAATTAAGAAGTTGGTGCCCACTGGGAAGGAAAATAACTCTGCGAAATCTGGATTGGTGATTTTTTTGTGTGCTTCTGTGTTTATTCTGACTAGTGGCTGCAGTTATAGAACTGAAGCTATTAAGCCCTGTGTGTCTGTGTCTGCAATTCAGAAGCACCTTTACCTCTTACGTATGGAAAACTTCCTATTTCTGGAGGGTACCAAAAAATTAGATTATGGCATCTTTTAAATTATAAGCACTTGCTTATAAAGGTAAGCAGATGTTTATATAAACTGACTATTCCTAAACCTCACAGAAAATAAGGAAATTGAACCTCTAAGACTTTACATTTACTAGACTTCATACAAATTATTTTACATAAAATACTATCTAACTCAGTGATATTTTAAGAATCCAAGTTCCCAAAATTAAGGTAACTTTTTGGCAAATAATACTAGTATGATGAGTTTTAAGACACAATTATATCTTTCTCTGACTTATTCTCTGTTAAATATAATGCAAATGTACATTTTATTTTACTTGGGTTGATTTCTCCTAAATTTATACAGGATAACTGGTCAAATAAGCTAGTATTATGCCTATAAAATGTTTAAGATTGTGAAAAATAAATGTGTTCAATTAAAATGAATAATTTTTCTCATAAAATTTTTATATATACAGCAGTTATGTTTTGTAGCATATCAATTTAAAGATAATTCCGAAAATCTTTAGGTAACTTAAAATGGACTTATTTAAGTTAAGCTGACAGACAGTCGTTGGGTATCTACCTAATTTCTAAGTAAGTGAGAATACTGAAACTTTGATTATAAAGCATAATATTAAGATTATGTATGTTTGCTTCTTATTCGTATATGCTACTGAGAGGCTGTAACTTAAGTGAGTCATGGCAAATGAATGTGTTCCTTTTTGCCACTTTAAGGGGATGGAAAAGTGATTTATGTCACATGTTTCAGGAGCCGTGCTAGTCTGCTAAAATGCTTGTAGGTGATGGAAAGTTCTCAGTTATCCACATCTTCTCTCTTCCCAAACTTCTCTGTGAAATATAAGTTATTTTGGTTAATTATTATAATTAAAATGGGTGGTTGAGACTAGGCCAGGTACAATAATGAAAAAGAAATACAACTGTGTATGTGTTTTTGTTTTGGGAAGAAAAAGAGAGTAGTTTTCTCTTAAAGCAGTGGTTCTCAAACTTCCTGGTCTCAGGGCCCCTTTATATTCTCAAAACTCATTTGAGGACACCAAAGAGTTTTGGTTTAAGTGAGTGATAACTGTCCATATTATTGTATTTGAATCAAAACTGAGAAATTTTTAAAATATTGATTCATCTGAAGATAGCAATGACAAATCCATTTTAACATAAATAATATATATTTTGGGAAAAATAACTGTATTTCCCAAAATGAAATATCTGAATGACAAAATGCATCGTTTAACATTTGTGCAAGTCTTTCCAATGTCTGGCTTAATAGGAGAGAGCCAGATACGTATCTCTTTCTCCACTTTTTGTGATGTCATTCATGTACCTTCTGGAAAACTCCATGGTATACTTTTGAGAGAGCGTGAATGAAAAGGCAATTCTTAAAGTAAAATATAAATTTGTTTCAGAATATAAAAGAGAAAAATAAAAGACAAAACTTGGAAAGTGAATTTTATTTGCTCTGGTTTATAATCTTTGAATCAAAAAAAAGTATAAAATACATTAAAATTTTGGCCTAGCTCCCTCAGTTTTGATGGCTTGCTTCCCTGGCTTACTGATTAATGCCTTGAATTACAATACAAAATGATCTTATTCTTTACCTTCTATGGAATCTGCCTGGCTAGCAGAGATTCTGTGTCTCACCAAAATTATTTTCAGAGCTTTACATTAACTTGAAAAGTCGCTGATTATTTAAGGAAAGAAAAAGAACAAGTGCTCTCACTGTGAAAAGACCTAAGTTCTTTAAGACTGTGTTACATTCTATATTTATTTTCAAACTTTTTTTTGTTACTTTGATTCTACAGATAACCAAGCATTGTTTTTTAGGCACCCATGGTCCTATCTTAATCGTACCTGAAAAATCTTCTGAGTAATTTTGGTTTTGCCTTCCCAGACTGAACTCTATATATTTTGGGGGAAACAATTTTTTTGAGGTTATTTTTACACCTAAAACTATCTTGGTGATTTCCTAGATGGGGCCTGGAATATCAAAAAGATTTGTTTCCTTTACCTTTTGAAAAGAGAGACGCGATCAATAATCGCCTTTGCTTACTGTGTTACATTTTAAGAGTTGCAAGGGAAGAGTTGTCAGGTTAGAAGAGATGCTTAGTTTTCCCTAGGTTAAGTTGGTATGGGTAAAATAGTATTAATATATTTCTGAAATTATATACTATATGGGAAAACCCTGGAGATTTATCAGTGAGGTCATTGTCTCTAATGTTTTTACCTTCAGGGGAAATACTGATCAGAAACTCTTAGGAAATAGTTATGTAGAGTAGCTCAATAGAGAATTTTACTCTTCTCAATTCTGATACCTGTCAGAGTAAAAAATTAACCATTAAGCCTCTATAATCTACAGATAACTTTGTATTAGTTTGATGCTTGCCTGAAGGCTCTTTACAGGCTATAGGCCAGAAAGGACAATCTCAAGAATTTCGTGGAAAAGGACTGTATGTACCAGGTATTTTTAAATATTGATATTCAAAGAACAGACTCTTGGGCAAAGGCCACTGAACTGACATTGCTTAAGTCGTGTGTGAGCTGTGCCAGTGGCCTGAGTCAGGATTTTCTTGGATTTCCGGAATCTTTTTAGTCAGGATGCAGATGGCTTCATGAAGGCAGACTTTTCAACCAAGAACCAACAGAACAAGAATTAAAGACACAGGACTGAATGAACTGAAGAGGAAGATTTTACTGTGGTCACTTATCTGGAATACTGCTGATACTGTTCTAATGTTCTGTTTTCTGGATTCATGAGGATGCCTTTTCTCTTTTTATGCTATCTTTAACCTTCAATGCAGTCAACTCTGTTTGATAAGCTAAATTTGGCTACCATTTAAAAATGATAGCCAATTATCACGGATCCCCCAGAATTCAAAAACTGAGTCCCCCTGATTTTCATAGCAATATAGTTATTCCACAGGTTTGTTAGAATCCATCCATAGGATATCCCTGGGCCACCAAGCCCTTACCCTGAGTGTCATACGAGAGGATAATAATGCTCACTGAGTCACATATGACTAGCCTCTTTAAGAATTAAGAGAGCTTAAAGCCTATAATCCCCACCCCCTCAAAGGAAAACTGGCCTGGTACCTGGTTTGCAGAGTCCTGGTCTTACAGGTGCTTAGGAAGCTATCAGGCCAGGAATCTAGCAAATCTTGGAAACCTCAAGGAATTTGACCAAGGTTATAAGGACCATAGGTGAAAAACGGTGGAGATTTTCTTGGGCTTGGTTTCTTAGCCTTGGGATAGCAGATAATGGGCTTTGAAAAGCCCATCCCAAGATTCCTTATAAAAACTTCCAGCAAAAGTAAATTTTGTGGGCTTAACAGTTGTTTAATACTGAAGGGCTCCGTATTTGCAAAGCAAACCAAGATGACCTATAGGGTTAATTAACACTTTCACTGCACCATTGGAAATAATTAGGCCAAACTTTATGAGACCAGCCTTTTTTTGTGATCAAGAATAATCTTTGAGATGATTATGATTACAGGAGAAGAGGGAGGAAGAACCTTGGGTAGGCCAAAAAACTTTGAAATGGGCAAAAAGAAATTACTGGGTATCTTTCCAGTGGAATAGCAGGTGTGGTCTAACACACCCCTCCAGATTATCTGACTCTATGGGGGTCTGTACCTTCAGTATCTTCGTGCTATCCTGTAACTCTGTAAGTTACAGAAAACTGATACTATTGTACATGAATCTTGTCCAGTGAAGATACAACCAAATCTGATGCCCTACTCTCTCCCTAAGGAGCAGCAAATTGTGAAAACACAAATTCACTTAGCATCCTCCGCTGTCTATGCATGTTTCTACTCTGGATTTTCCTTTGAACTGGAAGTAACATCTTACCAGTTCCTTTATTACTAAATGACTAATACAAAATCTTTGACATGTATTCAATAAAAAACAGTTGTTTTCTCTCTCTCCTGGTTGTTATTTCATATATTTTAGAGTATGGACTGCCACCATGGTGACATTCAAGGGCAAGAAGGAAAATCTATCTAGTTGAACAGCCTCATAACCCAGTGATTTGAGCTCCACTTCATTTGTTAAGGCATCTTGATACACATCAACGATCTTGCAAAACCAAAATAAGCTACAGAAGGAACTGCTTTGCCACTCAGAGCTGGCAGCAACATTCAGCAACAGACACATAATTTATGGGACTCCAGTCCTGTTAGTATTTCAACACAGAAGAACACAATGATGAATGCTGGATCCAAGCTTTGTAATAAAGCTGCTTGGGGACTTCTTGATTTAAGTATTCAAAAATACAACCACCCTGCAGTTAAAAACAAGATGAGGGGACATCCCCAGGTTCACAGATCAAGGATTATAAAGAATAAAGATATCTTCTTGCCTTCATGTTTCATCTGGCATCACTGTAGCATTTATACTAGAAAGCATCTCAAAACTGGTCATTATTTCATGGATGCGCCTTCCATGTACTGCACTGCAAATGCCTTTATGAGTGTACAAAGACCCCACGTGGCACAACCACCAGGACCCACCATTTACAAAGACTATACTTAGTGGGATGGCTTCACTTCCTTTCTCACCAGCCCTGGAGGCAACATGTCTGATCAGGCCCAGCTATGTAATATGGGGGATCCGATGCAAAATGAAAATACAGGGCCCTTTGCTAAAATTATTAAGAATTACAAGGTGGTGACAGCAGAGCATTAAGCCAAGCATGAGGCCTTTCTAAGCGTGAGGCCTCATATGACTGCACAGGTCACACGCCCATGACGCTCGTCCTGTGTCTGATGCTTCTCAAGGAAGAAGGGTAGAGAAGCCCTTAGCCTCTTTATAGTAACAGATGTTAAGACACAGGTTAACGTCTACCCAAATGTCAACTTAGGCCCTATTCCATCCCCTAAGAGTAGGGGGGACTTAAATACATAGCAAAGAAATGAAACTTCCCAAAGAATGAAAAATCCTAGTCCAGTTGGTGAAACTAATCACTTATGCATCTTACTCTCTCATATACAAAATCCCACGCTCCTAAGTTATCCACGTCTCCAAGGACCAGAGAAGGCTTGTGAGCAATCCACACGTGAGAGGTCTCTGGAATAACTGACATCTAGGGTTATCTCACTCACACCAAAGGGACCCCAGAAGGATCTGCCTCCCCAGCGATCCTTGGGCCACAGCCAAGTCTGAACCTGACGCTCAAGGTCTCCTTTCTGGAAACACTGGTTTGAGCATCAACAACATTTTGCTTTTAACTGGCTAGGGTAGAAGTTCAGCCACTGGTCCTCTGTCCACTTGCAATTTCTTGAAAACACTGTGCTGTTTGGGTAATACATCCTAATCCTGAGAACTATGAGAATCTCTTCATCTCCCAAGATCTGGATCAAACTGTCCCCCGGTCTACCTCGTTCTCATACTTCTAGCACAGCTCCGTACAGGCAAGGACTGTTTGTTTAGTCACCTTCGGGTCCTAAGAGCCCAATACAATGACTGGTATGTGGACGGAGCTCAGTCAACACTTGTTGAATGTATTAGGAGTAGAGGGAGTAGGTAGATGTGGCAATAATTCCACTGGAAATGCTACAATCAGAGGGAAACAGTAATCTTACCTGAAAGCTTGATTTTTGAATTATTATCATTTTCACTAACAAGAATAATGTTAACCGCTGCCACTAACGACCCCTTCCTCTTGTGCTAATTATTTTACATGCATTATATCATTTACGGCTTTTGACAAACTTTGAGGGGTTTTCTTTCCAATATTATCCCTATTTTAGACAAGGAAACTGAGGATCAGAGATGAAGTGCCTGGTCAAGGCCTACACAGCCAGCAGGAGGGCTGAGTTGTACACAGCCTGGCCTGGCTCAGACCTGGCACTTAGTGACCATACGATGCAGCCCCTCTATCTTTGACAAGATGCTACCTTCTATGAGAACTCTAATAGCTGAAATTTGATCTATTATGAGTTTAGCCGAATAGTCAATCCCCTCTCCCCTAATAAGTCTCTAGTGTTAGGTGAGAAACACTTCGAAGTCATAAGGGGAGAGAACTTTCATATGTATTTATCCTTGGTCCCCTCCCCCAAACCTAGAAGAAGCTGAATGCAAGAATTTTACTTTCTTTCATTGCACTAACTTCACGTGCAACTTACTTGATACAAGAGAAGAGCACAAATTGTCCCAATGAACACTACTTATGAATAGCCTACTTCTTTACCAAAATAATTTGAGGATGCTTATAACAACGGTAAGAGGAGAAAGAGAGAAACCACGAGCTGGGATGGTGGGAAGAAGAAGCAAATACACAGGCCACGTGTGCTGAGGGTCACGGCTGAGCCCGAGCCTCATGTAACCTGCGCATCCCAGTCTCGGCAGAGGAACTCATCACAAGGGACCACTCAGACCCTTTCCGTGGGCTTTAAATTAAGTTACCATTAAATTAAATTGCCACAAAGTCTTAGAAGCCTAAGAAAACACTATGAGAAAGAAAAATGTGGTCATAAAGTTGGTCATGAAATGACAGGTATTATCTAAGAATAAAAAAGGATCTAAAAAGTCCAAGTACCATTATTAGATTTGAAAAGGTGAGCACGGGACAATAAATGTCCAGGTTTATGCTTCGATAATATCCATCCAACTGGTAACTGACTCTTGAAAAACATAGCTAGTCCTTGAAATTAGAACATCTTCTTTGCCTTTCCTTCCACAGAGCTAGCACGCAATCACGTTCCACTTGCTGTAGGAAATAAAAACGCCAAAGTGCTGCAAATGCAGATAATACTGTTCTCTAGAAGTATACTTTCTTAGCTTTTTTTCCCTCAGACTTGGAAACATCTTTGCTGTCATCAATCACTTACTTGTGCTAACGCTCTCTCTGCTTTGATGGCATTTTACACACCAAATCAAACGAGCTACATTAATGTTTTATTTCTGCCACTGAAGGATGGTGTGAAGGCTCAGAACCCGAGACAGAAGACACAGGGAGCTGTTAAACGTTTCCAGAAGAGGAGAGGGCAGTCTCCCCACCCTGAGGGGCGGCGATCTCAGGACTGGTCAGCTCTCCGCGGCGCCCCAGCTCACCAAACTGGTCCCCGATTTGGAACTCTAACCGCAAAGAGTCACCTTGCGGGAAGGTGGGAAAATGAGTGATTGCAGTAGATCGAGGGGCAGCCTGGGGCCCCAAGCAGAAAATCTCTGGCCTCTAAAGCAGAAAAGAGACAGAACATCATCGGACATGGCGGGACCACATGGTATTCAATGTTCATATTTTTTTGTATACCAGTGCCTAGCACGGTGCTGGATACAAAGAAGGATCTGAGTAGCTGTCTCCGCTGGACAGAACTAAGGTCTGGGAGACCCCTAGCTGGGGTCTTTGAGGATGGTAGCTCAATATTCTCATCGAGAAAATGACATCTGACTTCTCTCTTTCATAGGGTGACTGTAAGATCAAATGGAAGTGTCTGTGTGTTTAGAGAGCTCTTTGACAAAATATTAGGTGCTACTCCAACACAAGAATCACCAAATGCCAGTCCAGTGGCCAATCTTCAGGGCAAAGGAATGGCTGCCGTGAAAGCGGGCCTTTTCCTGCCTGATGGCCTAACCCCTTCTTGCCTGCACCTTCTCTGTGGATCCCATTGTCCTTCTTCCAGCAGCTCCAACAGCTTCCCCTTCCCCACCTCGAGTATGCAAACCACTCTCACAGACAGCAGGGATGATGAGGGAGTTACCTCTCCCAGCTCTGTGGCACCCGGACAACCCCTCATAGGCTAAGACCTGGTGACAAGAATGCCTTCAAAGAGTTCACCTTATTACTCAGCTTGAATTAAATAAAGCACCAGGAAAAGGCCTTCTGCCGTTACTCCTGTTTAAAGCCAGTTCTGACTGGTAGCTCCAGATCGCCCAGTCTGCCCGCCCCACCAAGCTCCCAGGGTGGGATCCTATCAGGATGGACTCCAAGGACGGTCTGTTCCATTTTCTAAAAGGCCAAGCTTGTATTTCTTAGAAATGGAAGACCTAGCAGTTTAGGCTCCATTTTTCTGAAACTGAGAGACCCTATTTCAACTACACAGCTTTTCCTTTCTTACCCAACTATCGGTGCAAGCTTCCCAGAACAACGTTTTGCCCGAGGACATGCAGCACCCAGGGATGCTGGCAGTGAGCCCTGTGACACCTGCCTGCTTGCAGTCTTCGTGAACCACTGTGCAGAAATAAAACTAGTTATGAGCTAACCTGAATGGGTCCAACAAATAGTATTGGTCTTCATTCAAAGCCTGTATTTTATTTCGCTGAGTGAGTCCGAGTAGCAGGAGTTACTTGGCAGATGAGATAATAACCGAGTGCTATTAAACAAGACTGTACTTGGCTTCCCTTTCTCTTCACTTACATGGATGATGTCAACTTCGTCTACGTGATCTCGATATATGTCCCCTTGTCATGGAGATAAATATAAGGGAATGATTCCTTTAAT